GTAGTAGTAGTAGTAGTAGTAGTAGTAGTAGTAGTAGTAGTAGTAGTAGTAGTAGTAGTAGTAGTAGTAGAACTTTCATGTCAAAATTGCATCTACGACTTGCCCCCCAGGTGGCTGAATGTGACATGTACGCACGCTACCTTGAGCGTCCTGTGTCGCCATGGATACCACGCGAGCATGGGCTCAGGTGTAGTGTCTGGAACCAGTCGGGCTGTGCCGAGGGCGAGTGTTGCATCAAAGAGGTGAAGAATGTTGTTGTTGCTGTTGTGGTGGAGGTGGGGGTGGTTGTTGTTGATGGTGGTGGTGTTGTTATTTTTGTTGTTGGTGTTTTTGGTGGTGGTGGTGTTGTTGTTATTGTTGGTCGTGGTGGTGTCGTTTTTGTTGTTATTGTTGTTGGTGTTGTTGTTGTTGTTGTTGTTGTTGTTGGTGGTGGTGGTGGTGCTGTTTCTGTTGATGATGGTGGTGGTGTTGTAGTTATTGTTGTTATTGTTGCGGTAGTGGCGATGTTGTTGGCGGTGGTGGTGTTGTCGTTTCTGTTGTTGGTGGTAGTGGTGATGGTGTTGTTGTTGGTGGAGGTGTTGTTGTTGTTGTTGTTGTGGTGGTGGTGGTGGTGGTGGTGTTGTTGTGGTGGTGGTGGTGGTGGTGTTTTTGTTGTTGTTGTTGGTGTTGATAGTTGTGATGGTGTTTTAGTTGTTGTTGTTGGTGGTGGTGTCTAAGAGAAGGGACCTCTTATTTAACACCTATCTCAAATAATACGTCTTATATATTCAGTCACGTACTTTGAAAGCCAAAAAAAAAGACCGAGAGCCGAATCAAAAACAAAAACAAAAAATATAACACAAAAGTACTCAGTTTAAAAATGTCTTGTTGGGGTTTCACATCATTGTCGACAACCAAGCTCCCCAACACGTCATCCACTGAAAAGAACCTCCCCTCTCCCACCCCTCCCCACACTCCTTTCTCCCTGCCACTCCCCTCCCCCCCCCCCACCTAAACACACACACACACACACACACACACACACACACACACACACACACACACATACACACACACACATACCCACGCACACAGACACCGAACCGTATGTTTTGATCATCGTTCTGACATTATAATGACCAGCTCTCGGCCACCCCTATCCATTGCCCCATTGCCTCATCCCATTGATCAAACGACTTGGAGGAAATGTAGAACTTTTTTCGGAACGAAAATGCAAATCGTCTAACAGCAGGGGAAGTTGCAAAGGGAAAAAAAAAGCCATTATTTTCTCCAACCTTCCGAAAGCTTGAACATTCTGAAGGCTAGCCTAGCTTTTTTTTAGATCGATATTTCGCGAGACGCCTTCTGAGAGAGAATGTCGTTAAAATGTTTGTTCCGCCTCTGCAGTTTCTGACTGGAAATTGACTACAGATGAAGCACGTGTAACTCAGTTGGCTTGGTGCTAGGCGATAGTGCTGTTGACCTAGGTTCGAATTCCTAATCGATGGGATGTTCTGGAACTTAAATTGGGTTGTTTGATGAGTTTTCAAGACTCTTTACCTTCTTGGCTCTTCGCTACCTTAGAATTACAAAGATCTAAACGACATTTTTGTCCCTTTTGAGTTACTAAGGCAATGGGGTCAAACACCAAATGTTCTATCTGCTCTATCAATATCGTTTATTATCAAATTATTCTGAGTCGTTATGCATCAAAATATAAAAGGAATTGCATTTTTTTTAAAGCTTAACCATGTTGTGAAACGCAGAAATATTAATTAACTTCAAATTTCTCAAAACTAGGTAATGAGTAGATAGGACTTGGTAATTCAAATTCGAATTCAAACTTGTATCTGTGGTGGACGATAAATTCTCGGGTCCCTTAACATTTTTGTTCGCTGAATCTATAATTCTTTACCTGGAATCGGCCGAAAATTTTCGAAACCGATGAACAGTGTAATTATGTTGCAAATGCAACAGTTTTGAGTGTTGTACACACTACTCAAATTTCAATAGTTTAAATTTACAAGACCCACATCTATGGGTGTATTTGACGGCGACGATGTTCCCAAAGAAAGGGAACGGAAGGGAAGCAGTGATTATTTGATCACGTAGACGCTTCGCCGTGGGTGGTTGGCGGGTGCTCTGGTGTGGTTTGCTTCTTCTTTCCTATCAAACATCTATCGTCCTTATCTCTCCTTCTTCTTTTTTATGTTTGTAACTCTCTTGTAACACCTCTAATCTTCTGGCGCTCATATGACCTTATGCAGTTGCGAGCGCCGTAAAACCTCTACTAAAACTGAAAAGATGCTTCGCCTCATTGTGCCACCTACCACCCTCTGCTATCGAACACCCCTC